AGCTAAAAATCAAGTTTGAGAGATAGATTCACGTAAGTGAATAATTGTAATATCATTTACTGGTGCTATAATAGATGCACCCTCATGCTGTGGAAGAATGAGAGAAGACATTATGTCATAAGGATAATAGCAAGTTCACAGGTCAGCAGAGGAAGGAGGGGAGGGTGTTTAGGCAGAGGAATCAGCTCAAGCAAAAAAAAAAAAAAAAGAGAGAGAGAGAAAGAGACTAATTTGTTTGAAAGTGGACATTGGGTGTAGCTGAGTAACTATCACATTGTATTGCAATAGTCTGTTTACTTATTTGTAAACTCCTAGTAGACTGTAAGTTCCCTGAGGTAAACAGCCTACTCATCCTTCTATCCCCAGAACATGGCACAGAGCCTGGCATATAATGGACTCTCAACATATATTTGTTGAACTATGTTAGGGGCTGGTGAAAAATGAGGATGGCAGATATTATGGGCAGATTGTGAAAGGGCCAGATTGCATACCCTGCTAAGTAGGGTTTGGATGTAGGAGTAGTAGTGAAAGAAATGAGAATGGAGGCAGGGAGATTAGTTAGAAGCCCACCACAATAGTTTAATAGAGATTTGAAGAGGGCAACCTCAGTAGAGACAGGGAGGAGATAATGGATTTAAGTTTTAATGGATTTCTTCCCCTCAGGGAGCCAAGCAAGACGAACAGTGAAGCCACAGCAACAGCTGCAACAGAGTGACACAAAGGTAATGACAGACCTCTGTCCGTTCTTGGGGACTGCTCAGACGTGGGATCCCAGTTCTCAGCTCTTTTCTCCTGGCACAGACATATCTCAGTCTTCTGTAGAACTTGCCGGTTCTGCCCATCCTCCTGTGCCCGCCAAAAGAGCAAAGGAAAGGGACATCAGTCTAACTTGCCTTGCATGGGATGCGAGGGTCAAAACCAAGCCAAGAGCCTCCCTTGATGCTCTCTGTTCCTTGCAGGGCCATGAAACAACAGGACATACGTATGAGCGGGTGTTACAGCAGCCTGAGTCTCGAGAGAGGAGTCAAGGCCTGGTGTCAGAGGAGAGCAACTTACATTACGCAGATATTCAAGTGTGCAGCCGTCAATCAGCCCATGAGCTAAAACACCTGCATTTAGAAAATGCTACAGAGTATGCGACCCTTTGCTTCCCCCAGGCCATACCTCACTATGACAGAAAGAATGGGACCCTGGTGTGAACCTTGGAGAGGAGGGACCAGTTTCCATCATTTACCACTACTCCTGTGGGGAGAATCTACTGCTTTAAGGAATTGGGTGGCAGCCCAGGGATGTTGACCACGTTTTAAGCTTAAAGAACTCCACGGCCCCTGGAATTGTGGGTGTCCCCCGTCTTTCCTCTAGGCCTCTTATTTGCCACCGTTAGCTGGGGGTTGTAGTTGGGTTCGCTGTGGGTGGATGGAGTTCCACAAAATGAGGACGTTAAGTGGATTGTGCAAGAAGGTAGGTCTTTGACTCCTAACATCGCTCCTGCTCTCATGAAAAGTGCAGAAAGAACAGGTTACTGCATAAGTACTCGGGCTGATCTTGTTGGACTTTATTTAATGGTGTCCCTTTTGTACACCTTAAACTCTAAAGCTCAAAAGGAAATGCTCTGGAGAAGCATTCTGAATTTCTGCATCCAGCCCCCAGTGCTGGTTTGGGCAGTTTCCTCAGTGACTGGGTCAAGGGTTCCAGATCTAAACAGACAAATGGGGGAAGGGGCTGAGGCACAGAGGAAGCGGTCTCCAACTATTGGCTACAAGGTCTTCGAGTCACTGAGACTGACAGCACAGTGAGGCGCAGAAACTCCCCCAGGCTGGACTGTTGGCTCTTGCGAGAGCGGAGCCGCTAGGATCAATAAATCGCAGGAGGAACATGCCTGGTGTGTTGTCTGGGGTGGGGGTCTGGGACTCTCCTTAAGTACAGTGGGTCTCGCCCAGCCTAAGGGCAATTTGAAAGTTCAGCTACTAAAGAGGCCTCTGCGTCCTACTAGGAGGGCCGTGGTGGGCGTGGTTTGGCCGAGCAGGGGGCGGGCTCCCATTGGCAGAAAGCGGAGTTCCTTGGGCGGGGTCTGGGCCAGCAGGGGTATGGCCTGGGCCGTTAGGAGGTGGGCCCGGGTCGTCAGGAGGCGGGGCCTGAGCGAGAAGGGCGGGGTCCGACTTGGCAGGGATAGGCTCTCCCGGCTGGAGGCGGGGTCCGGAAGACGGGGGCGGGGCCAAGGCCGGCAGGGGCTGGCTCGGGCAGGCTCGGGCCGGGGAAGGAGGGCGGGGCCGGGGCTGGCCTCTGCGTCACCATGGCAGCAGGGACGCAAGTGCGACGCCGGAGAAGGGGCAGGATGAGTCCAGAAGGGCTGGGGACAGAGAGGCTGAACCAGACGGACCGGTGATTTAAGAGGTAGGCGCTAAAAGGTGGCGGGTGACTGGAAAATATTACCAGGGGTTGAGCGGGCAGCTCGGAACAGAGGACATGCGGAGGGGGTGGGAAGACGGAGGCTGCAGTTTCAGGGTCCGAACCCGCTCTGAACTCTGTAGGTTCTTAGTGGGCAATTCCTGCTTCAGACTTTCAGAGCGTGGAGACGAGTGGTAACGCACTTCCCTTTCTCAGCCTGTACACCATCCTCCCCAGATACCGCTATCCCTCGGTTGGTGCCTAAGAGGGATGATCTCCTGAAGACGCGTAGAGTACTGAAAATTGATTTGCAGCACACAAAAAGTTGGTAGTAATAGTATCAACCTCATAGAGTGTTTGTGAGGATTTAAAGCACTTGGAACAGTACACAGTATGTAGTCAAATGTTGGCTGCCACTGTCACCATCATCATCACTATTGTGCCCGCCTGTTCTCTGGCACAGACCTAATGCAAATGAATTCATAAGAGATGGGTTGGAGGACTGCCTTTACCACTAATTGGTGGAGCAACTCTCTAGCCTATTTTCTATATATTAGCTGGGGATAAAAAAAAAAAAAAATAACTCTACTTCCAAGGGTTATTTAATGTGAGGGTCAAATAAGATGATGTAGACGATAGCACTTTGTAAACTTAAAGTGCAATGTACAAATTTCTGTCTTAGAATTATAAATGCTGTCTTTCTGGGTTAAAACTGAATTCCTGAGGGTGAAGGGAAGTAAGTGGTAGAAGCAGAGCTCCCAATATTTCTCCTGATTATCTTCAGAATACTTTCTGTGGTCCTTGACTGATAAGTGCAGGGAGGAGGGAAAATGCATGACTTGCTTGACTAATGGTAGGGAAGCATTGCTCTTTACTTTATTACTTTGCTTTATTAAAACCTAAGTGACTGGGTTTTAAAATACCACTGGGATAGGCCTGTTTTATTATTATATCTTGTGTTAGATTTCCTGCTAACCAGGGTCCTATTTCTGATATTTCAAAATGACTTAAGTTGATAGGTTTGGGGGAGTGACTTGACCCCAACTAGGTTGGTTTAGTTTTTGGAATGTTTTTCCTGTCCTATACAATTTGCACATTTCTTCCTCTTCCTACTTCAAGGTGGCCCTGATTCAGCTCTTCTAGGGACTCTGAAGATGGGAACCAAAGTGGTTATGAGAATCTGTAACTCCTTGCTGCCAGCAGAGCCCTCTGTAAGTTTCTGGAGTACTGTTGTGAGGAATGTGATGACATTACTGGAATTTCAGTACAATTCTGCATCTGGGGGATTACTCCATCAGGACTCAGATCTTGGAAAGAATTGTAATATATTTTCCTTCTTTTCTTGCTTCTCCTTCTTGTGGAAATTCTAGCTCACTTGGGCCTTGATTCATCATCCTTTTCTGGAATTAATAAAATCAGGCAGAGTTTGAAAAATTCTAGTAACTAATCAGAATTTATGTATTATGTAAAAGATTTAAATAAAGTCTATTACAGAAATAATGTATTTTGATTACAGAGCATTTGAGAAACACTGCAAACTATGATTTTTTAAAAAATAACAACATTATTCCCTTATCCAGAAGCAACCACTGTTAATATTTGGAATATATTCTTCCAGTCTTTTTTTTCTAAGTATATTTTTTACATGAGATCATATTATGTGCACACTTCTTGACTTTGCTTTTTTCACTTAACACTCACTAATACAAATTTGTTAAAATGTTTGTTTTAGTGTGGGTACATATGTTTATAAACGTTATGATGGTTGTAATTTTCCTGACCAGTCCTCTGTTGTTGGACTTTTAGGTCCCCCCCTGCTCCCCCTAATTGCAAATAATTATTTCCTCATTTAACACTACATCAGAGGATGTGCACATTTAAAATAATAAGTTACCTTGTAAAAGAAGAATTATGTCAGATTTTGTACACATTCTTCAGAAGGTAGCTGGACGTCAGTTGGAAGCTAAAAAGGTCTTGGTAGAAATCTGGCTACCTCTTGCAGTGAGACCCTGGGTCCCACAGAAAGACTATTTCACGATAGTGTAATTAGTATGACTGGCAGTGCAGAGGCATAGGGGCATTTTCATAGTAGAGAAACTCAAGGGTCACTTCCAAAATATCCACCAGATGTCGCTAGTCTTAATCTAATTTTCACCCACAGGATAGCTGGCAGGTAACTTGAAATGTGAATTTAAAAAATTCATGTAGAATATATTTGCATATCTGCTTTAGTGCGGTTTATATTAAGCACTAGCATCTGGTGATTACTTTGGCGACATCCTACTCTAGTCTACTCTAGTCTCTCACCATCCTGTCTCTTTTTTCCATCTACCCACTCAGTCTGTCCCACTAACCCTGTATACTCTGTGCCCACATACTAATATTGGATTCTCAGTTTTACTAGTCTTCCTTTTACTATTCTTTCCTCCAGTCTGGTTTCTTGCCTCTGTGTGTTGTATGTATATTTATGTGAACTTGTCAGTTCTTCAAGTTTTTGCTAAAAGGATAAGACCTGATATTTAATGATTTATAATAGAGGCTCAACATATTTTAATGAATGTTTAATGAAAGAATGTATGAATGAAGAAGAAAAGGCAGAAGGATACCAAAAATTATTTATATTTGGCTTGAGAATACAGTAAAAGAGACAAAGATTCACATTCCTAAACTACCTAAAATTAAGTGCCAATGATCTAGCATAGAACATGCTTGATCTTTGAATTTTAAAGAGAGAAAGATTCATTCATTCATTCAGGCAGTATTTATTGAGCATCTACTATGTGCCAAGCAACATTCTTGGTTCTGGGGATAAACCAGTAACAAAACATCCAAAATTCCCTGCCCTCAAGGAGCTACATTCTGAGCAGAGCAAAGTTGATGAAAGAAAGAAGGAAAGAAAGAAAGGAAGGAAGAAAAGAAGGAAGGATATATAAGATGATGAGCTATGAAAAAAAAATAAAAATAAATCAGACAAAGTGGTCTGGGAGTGCTGATGTGAGAGGGTGTTGTCATTTTAAATAGAGTGGTAAGAGAAGGCCAAACATATAAAGTGACATTTGAGCAGAGACCTGAAGAGAAGCAGGAATGAGCCAAGGGTTATCTGGGAGATGAGTGTTTCAGATAGATCAGAATCAAGAGTAGTCAGAGGAGTTTTATAGAGGAAGTGGAACTTGAACTAGGCATAGTGAAGATTTGGGTAGCAGAAGGGTAGGGTGTGGAGCATTCTAGGCAGAGGGACAATTGTGAAGACATAGAGGTGAAAATGAGCCTTGTAAATCTGTGAGACAGCAAGGAACCTTGTAACATGAACAGAGGTGTTTGGGGGGAGGCCTTAAGAGCTGGATATGAGAATTTAAATCTGACGTGTTAGGAAAAAGGAGTGTTTCACGATATTTGAGCAGTAGAGCAGCAAGATAAATGCATTGTTTATAGAAGATTAAGATGAATGCAGACCGGCATGTGGAAAAATCTGGAGACAAAGAGAACAGGAGCCAGGACATGTTGGAGACCTTTGCTGGTACGTGTGAACCCTTTTGTGTATGTCTATGGTAATGTCTCTGAAGGTAAATGTAATAGAAATTGTAAACATGTTACCCTCAAGGAACTCAGCTAATGTGAGAAAACAGAAATAACATTAATAAATTATGTCAGAGCATCATTTAAAATATTTTCATTGATAATTTTTATTATTTGTTTATTCAAACTGCTTTGCTGCTTCTTTATATTTATGAATGACTGCCCATTATAGATGTGTTAAATTTTACATAGGTGTGAATTTCACACATTTT